CAAAATGAGCTGTATTAAAGGGTCAAACCATTAGGAAGGTTGAGAACCATTGCTCTGGAAGAAAGTGCTTCTCCCCCACTAAACTATCTGCCTGGCTCCTTGTCCATCTAAATTCAATGATCTTTTTTCTTTTGAGACAGGGTCCCTCAATGTAGCTCTGGCAGGCTCTCCTTAAATTCACAGAGATCCCTTTGCCTCTCTCTCATGAGTGCTAGGATTAAAAGTGTGTACCACCACACCTAGCAAGTCCAGCCTGGGCTACTGTTTTTCAAAGGTACTGCGCTGGCTAGTCTTATGTCAACTTGACACACAAAGTTATCTGACATGAGGGAAACTTAATTGAAAAAAAAAATGCCTCCATAAGATCTGACTATAAGGCACTTTCTTAATTAGTGATTGATGGGGGAGGGCCCGGCCCATTGTGGGTGCTGACGCCCCTGGTGGTCCTGGATTCTATAAGAAAGCAGGTTGAGCATTGCCTCTGCATCAGCTCCTGCCTCCTGGTTTCTACCCTGTTTGAGGTTTCTACCCTGTCCTGGCTTCCTTTGATAATGAACAGCAATATCTCTCCAACTTGCTTATTGGTCATGGTGTTTTGTTACAGGAATAGAAACACTAACTAAGACAGGTTCAAATGCTTGTTTTTTTTTTTTTTTTTTTTTTTTTTTTTTTGTGTGTGTGTGTGTCTCCTTCATATATGCACTTCTTTGTCTGATCCTTTTAACTCAGTCCATTTATATTATCTTATTGTTTTCAAGTTTTACTGTCATTTTATGTCTGTCGGTGTTATCACTACATGTGTGTCTATATATCTGTGAAGGCCAGAAAAGGGCATCATATCCCCTGGAAATAGAGTTATAGACAGTTGGAGCCACAGAATGGGAAGCTGAAATCAAGCCCAGGTCTTCAAAAGAGCATCCAGTGCTCTTAACTGCTGAGCTATAATTCTACCCCCAATTACTTGATTGTCTTGATCTTGTATCCATGTCTTTCTCTGTATCCCATTGATAGCTCATGCCCTTTATGCTTCTTCTCATTTGTCTCCATACAATCATCCTTTCCCAGTAATCTTTTGATATTTCTTAACTCCATTCCTGTAGCCTCTATGGGCACTGTCATGGTTATTGACTGCCACTCTGGAAGTTGTGTCACTGGGGATCTTGCTCAGTGGTAGAGTCCTAGCAAGGACCTGGGTTCCCTGTCAGCACTGGAAAAAAAATGTTATAGTTGTGCAATCTCTTTTAAGAAAGTTCTTTAAGTTATTCGATCACAATGTCTCTTTCTTCTTCCTTCTATATCTTTCTATATCTTCTTTCTACTTTCCTTTCATTCTTGCTGTTTCATAGTATGTTTTTGTGTTCTATGTATTAGGTCCTGATTCTTCAAGAAACCCAGTGACAACTTTCCCCCTACTCTATCCTGGAACACACTGTAAAGTGATACACAATCCTGATTGCATTTGCCTCTAATGCTTTCTGTGCTTAATTTAGCAGAGTTGGTACTACAGGTTATGAGCCACTATGTGCTACTGGGACCTGAACCTGGATCTTCTGTAAAATCAATAAGCTCTCTTAACTGCTGTGCAATCTCTCCAGTCCCTATGCAACATTTCAAAATGTTCTTTATCTTTTCATTTTTAAAATATAGGGCAATATATATTGCCAATAAATTTAACAATGTACAATTTATGGATATTAGGTTCTCGGTTTATCCTTTTAAAAAGATTCATTTATTTTTATTCTATGTGAATGCCTACATGTATGAATGTGCACTGTATGCACCCAATTTCCACAGAGGCCAGAAGAAAGCATCAGATGTCCTGAACTGGACTTACAGATGGTTGTGAGAAGCCATGGGGGTGCTAGGAACCAACCTGGATCCTCTGCAAAAGCAACAAGTGCATCCATCTCTCCAGGACCCTGTTTTGTCTTGTTTTTGTCAGGCCTCACTATGTAGGTTAGGTTGGTCTTGAACTTCTGATCTTCCTGCTTCATCTTCTGGAGTATTGGAATTACAGGTGTATACCCTCAAACCAGGCTTTTCAGTGATGAGAATGTTGAATGAATTACACATGCTATATTATGAATCTTTTCTGTCACCACTTACTAATTTATCTCATGGTATAGTTTTCTTACTGTTTTGAAGTATAGGCACATTATTCATGTTTGATGTTTACAGATAAAATGAATATTGTCTATAGCTTCAGTTTCTGTCACTGTGAAAGTCTATTACATAGCCCCCCCAAACACAGGTGTATCATGAACTCTTGGAAATACTTCTCTTTGTAGGAAGTTGAGTCTTATTTATGATTTCTGTTCTGCTCTCCTTGTTTTTGTTCTATTTTTTTTATTTTAAGCTGGGCAATTTTCTAGAAATTGTTGGAGTTATAAAGCCCATTCATCAGCTAGAGGAATTATGAGCATGTTACTGTTGTTTTCAAGACAGGGTTTCTCTGTGTAACCCTGTCTTAGAACTCTCTCTGTAGACTCTCTCTGTAGACCAGCCTGGCCTTGAACTCACAGAGATGACTGCTTCTGCCCTCCAAGTGCTGAGATTAAAGGTGTGTACCACCACTGCCCAGATGAGTATTTACTTTTAAGTAAGGGTGAACTTTATGTGGGAACATATAACACTATGCTCAGATGTGAATTAATTCTTATTGTGTATCTGGGTAATGGTTAATCTTCTTGTCAACTTGAATAAATTCATAATTACCTATGAGACACACCTGTGAACAGCTCCTGGGTTGTTCCAGACTGAAGGGGGGGGGCTAAGAGCTGAATATCAGAATTCATCTTTGTATGTTATCGGGCAGTGATGTGAGAAGCTGCCTCACTCTACCATGCACACAGTTAAAAATCTTTCTTGCCATCATAGACTGCCTCTTCAAACTGTGAGCTAAAATAAAATTTGCTTTTGTCAGGCATTTTCTCAAAAAAAAAAAAAAAAAAGAAAGAAAGAAAAGAAAGAAAAAACAGGAGAAGTAATTACTACAGTTTGTGAGGGAGTTTCAGGAAGAGATTAGCACTGAATTTACAGATTTAATAGCAGAGGATGCCCTGCCAATGGGCTGGACATCATCTAATCTTCAGAAAGCTTGAGTAGAATAAAAGGGCAGAAGGGAGAAAGCGGGTCTCCACTGCACCGAGACTTTGATCTCTGGCCCTCCGATTGCAGATACAGCAGGTTCCTTTACATTTGAATTATATATTTATGCTCTTCTATGATTTTCTACTATGTTTATACATTTTTTATTCTAAAATAAGAATTTTTGATAACTTGATATTAGGTCTGTCATATATTAGGAAGATGAAAATGTTGCATTTTGCTTTCTCTTTTTCTTTGTCCATGGCTTTCCTGACTTGCAGAAAGATGGTTTAAACTTATGTATTAACCATTTAGTTGTATCTTGAAATGTCCCTTATCATAGTTGTATCTAAAAAAAGGTATTTCCAACAGATTATTGCATATCCTGACAATGCATGTATTTTCTAGTTCTTTTATGCATTCATTTTTTTATAATTTAACTTTAAATTCATAAGGATTATTAATAGAACATTAGAGGCAAGAATATAATTTTATTACTTTCAAAAAAAGTGTATGTTACCTCATCAAGTACCAATTAATCTTTTCCTATCATCTATTTAAGATGCTACCTAATCCTACACTAAAAATGTTAAACCTAAAATATTTAAGGTATAAATTTGTGTTAAAATAATATTCTATAATCAGCTAATTTACAAAACAATTCATCTAGTACTAGAAAATGGTTTATCATGTCCATAGCAGCATGGTGTGTGTGATCTGTCCAGTTGTGAAAGTGAGTAATGCCTAGAACATTCTTTCAGGAGTTGAAGAATAAGCTGGAAAAGAAAATAGATAACTTGAATGAGCAGGATGTGATGAAAAGACAGAAACCAGACAGTTTGCGATGTGGTTTCTTATTAAAAACACTAGGAACTGCAGACATCCTAAAAAGTGTTGTCCTTGCACACTTAAAGGTATATGTGGTTCAAAGTTCAGCCTGGGCATCAGCTAAACATTTTCCAATATCCAGTAGTGATTAGTGTGTGTCCTTTCTCTCCAGGAACTCTTTTACTGATCAAATCATATTCCTATTTGGTAAAATTTTCCTCTAGATTTTTGCCCTATCCCATATTCAAAAATCCAGTTAAGCAGCTTCTTTACTGAGACAGTGAGGAATGCACTGTAAGAGAATGAAGATAAGTGACAGAAGTACATGTCTTCAATTTCACTGTTCACTTTTTTATTAACATATATTAGCTATATGTGGTAATGGGTCTCATTGTGACATTCTCGTGCATAAGGAATTAACCATATTTATCTCCCTCTCCACATTTCTCTAAAGAGAGAAAAGACCAGGCATAGGGGCTGGTATGTCAGTCACATCCGTACTTACAATGATTTTGCTGAAGGATAGTGAGTTTAACTAAGCTTAACCTGGGCTAAATAGCAAAAGTGTCTTGCACATACAAACAAGAGCAAAAGAACAATGGAAAGATTTGGTGAAAACAAATGTTACTGACAATATGTTCTTAGAGACACTAAAGAGGATACACCAGCCTTTCTATGGATGAACACAACTTTGTAAAAGGCTAAAGAATGTCTCTATGTCTGTTCCAACCTTCCTGCCTTTGTATAAAAATATGTTACAAACAGCATCACCTGCACTTTTCCTCAGTATTGATTCCTTTTATGGGGGTTCACTTTTGAATCTTCTTTGAAAAGACTCTAAGGAGCATGAAGGTTACATTCTCAAGAGTCATCAAGATCCTCTGTTCAACAAGATACAATTGAAAATACATCATGCTCCTTTTGTAGCTAACAAAGGTGCTACATTAATACATAGTATTTTTTGTCACTGAGAAATGAAGGCATGTGATGACCTTTGAGGTATTTGGTAACAAACAGCAAAATATTAGATGATAATAATCTTCACAAAAAGTTGAAATTGTATGTATCCTTTTCTGGTCAGATCACAGCTAGCAGACATGTCTGATGTCACTGTTGCCTGGGTTGATGAACACCAGCTACAGCGTTTAGATCAAATGCTGATTGTTGTTGATGAAAATGACAAGGTCATTGGTGCAGACACCAAGAGGAATTGTCATCAAAATGAAAACATCGAGAAAGGTAACCATAGTTTTGCTTTGTCTGCTATCCAATATTCATTCATTCTCTTTCTCTCTCCTTTTTTCCCTCCCCCTTATTTGATAAAGAGGCAGGAAAGGAAACTCAATTGGACAGAGAATTATCTGTTTAACCAACCACCATCAGAGTCCTAAACCTTGCAGGCAGCTGTGCACTTCCCCCTGAAAAAACAGGTTGACCTCAAGCTCAAAGATCTGCCCTACTCTGCCTCCAGAGTGCTGGAATCAATGACATGCATCAAGTTGCACCAAGGCCAACTCAACCTGCCAATCTCATCCAACTCTCCTCATCCCTCTTATTTCTTCCCACCAGATACTTCCACCCACCTACCCCTCCCTATTCTGCCACTAGGCTGTAAGTGCCCACTTGTCCGTTTTATACTCAAGAGTTTATCCCAAATCCATACTGAGGTCTCTTTTCTCCCTATTACAATAGCCCTGAATAAAATCTTTTTGTCCTAACTTTGCTTGCTGCTATCTAGAACTGATTTTCCCTTACAAGTTTTATATGTGTTTGTGTGTTTAAAATATTTGTGTGTGTGTGTGTGTGTGTGTGCGCATGTGCGCGCGCACACTTTTGGTAACCATGGTCTCTGAAGTATACAACTGCTATAAGCATCTATTTTTCTTTTGAGACACAGAGATTGAAGACATGAGTGTGGGCAACCATCCTGTGGTTGTCGGTCCTGTGTGCTCACACTCAGACCTTTGCATTTGCAGGGCTGCTCCACCGAGCCTTTAGTGTTGTTTTGTTCAACTCAGAGAAGAAGGTTCTGATTCAGCGCCGAGCAGACACGAAACTTACTTTTCCTGGTGAGTTCATCATGACTCAAAGAGAACAGGCCCGTGTGATGTAATCTGGAGAAATCTGCAGCACGAATTACCTAGCTGTAGATGACAGCTTTCTGGATGAAATAGTCAAATGCTTATCAGCCTAGTATTGCTCCAAGGTGCCTCATTAGAATGTTTTGGCTATACTATGGGCCCTTTGCTTTTGTTTATTTTGAGGCAGGTAACTGTCCTTGGATTTGTAATCCTTCCATCTCAACTTCCTGAATAGCTGAATGCTTTTTTTTTTTTTTTTTTTTTTTTTTTTTTTTTTTCCCCCACACCGGGCCCAGCAGCATTTAATGTGTATTAGCATGAGTTGCCCTCAGATTTTAGAAACCATACTTTGTCCTGCTGATAAAAACCTCAATGTAGAGGACAATGACCATGCAAGATCTCTTCCTTCCTTAGCTCTTCTTTCAGTGACTATATCCTGGTCATTTTCTAAAACATCTCTGCATTTGCTAGGCAAGTTAAATTCTCTGGCTCCTTTATGATGCTGAACTAAAACTTCAGAAAGATTCAGGAACTTCTAGACATATAACTATGCATTGATGTTCATAGTGTATGAACTGAACACATCTCATGTCAAGTGCCATGAGGGTAACTGAGTGTTCTAACTTCTGTATTTGCAAGGGTATTTTTTGCTTTAGTAAGATTTCAGCAAAGTGACCCAAATAAGTATTCAGTGTTTGAAAAGAAAGGAATAGGAGAAATTTAGTAAAAGCCCTCACCAGAGTTTGCAATGACCTAGGTTAAGGAACCAGCACCATGTCCATTATGAAAACTTGGTCAGAGGGCTGAAGGAACTGCTCAGTTGATAAAGCATGTGTCTTCCAAGAATGAGGACCTGAGTTTTATCTCCAGAAACCATGAAAAAATGATGGGCATGGTGGCATGTGCCAGGTCCTCTGGCAGGTAGGGCTATGGAAGGAGCTGGTTCTGCCAATCCCTCCTTGGGCCTGAGCAGGGCGCAGAGTGTTAAGGACCCAGACCCGCCTCTTAGTCACGGGAGAGAACCACACTGAGTCCGGAACCTTGTCAAAACAGGAGCTTGTTTTACTATAACAGGCATGCACTTATATAATAGCATTGAGAAAGAGGGTGGAACCTCAGTATGGGGTGAGGTGCAAGGGCCAATAATATTTCACCATGTTAGCAGTAGCTGGGCAGAGGCAGTTTTGCTGAGTCACTCCTATAAGGAAATGATAGGCCAAAGACAGGTCGTCAAACCATAGCCAGGCTCAGGAAGTACCACTAAGCCTTTGTGCAGGCCTTTTTAGGCCCAACAGGCATGTGCTTGTTGGCCAGCCTAGACTAATTGGTTATTCCCAAGCCAGAGAAAGTCCTTGGAAGTAGATGGTATTCCTGAAACTGATATCTGAATTATCTATCTTCTGGCCTCTATGTATGTGCATTTGCACACAAACATGACTGCAAGCGCAAGCAAATACACACACTGAAAACGATCTATTCATTGCAAAAGCAATGGATGGTGGCATACACTTGTATTCCCCAGGTGTACTTGGGAGGTAGAGGCAAAAGATCAGGAGCTCAAGGTCATTCCCAGATTCATAGCAAGTTCAAAGCCAAGCCGGGCTACATGAGACCCTGCATCAAAAACACCAGAAGACTTTTCTCTCCATTCTATGATGGTTTTAGTGTATGGAAAAAAAAAAAAAAAAAAAAAAAAACCTGACAGTGAAAAGTGGGAAAATTTTCATTACATGCAGACATCTGGGAATCCCACAAGATATGTCTTCTAGAAGACAGCCAGGTAATTGAAGTCCACAGAGCATCTTGTGTGTTACAAAAAGGGAATGGAGTTAGGATTTCTGGGAGTGAGTTGCTGTTAAGAACACAAGGGAAGAAACTGTGTGATGGTTAACAGAGCTTATCATGTAACGCAGATAAAAAAGCTTCTCAGGTATGCAAGGTCTCAAGGAGGAGCTATCAGAAGAGTACAGGTGACGAGAGCTCTCTGAGTGCAGAGGTTCCCCCAGACTCTTCAGTGATGTCATCAAAGGAGGGCACTTGGCCTTTCATTTTAGATGATCTGTCTATAGCCAGACAAGTGAAGTTCGGAGAAGCCCTCCCACACTTGCTGCTCCTCAGATCCTCTCTGTTTTGAACATAAATTTAGCAGCAGGGTGGGATTTCCTACATTACACTTCTGGCATTGCGTGTCTTTAGCTCAACACTCTCTTTTTAGAAAAAATAAATTCATGTATTTTTACGTAGGGGTGTGTGTGTGTGTGTGTGTGTGTGTGTGTGTGTGTGTGTGTGTGTGTGTGTGTGTGATGCTTCTTGGAAGCCAGAAGCAGATGTCAGATTTCATCTCACCAGGCAAAAATTAGAACACTACCACAATTTTTGAGCCAAATTTGAAGCAAGCTTTATTAAACAATGGCCAGAACCATGGATACCAGCCAGGTCCATACCCAGAATCCCCAGAGTATGGCACTGAATTGCTTTTAGCCAGTGGCTTGTAAGGCAAAACCCACAAGGCTTTGTACTTTTCACTTTCATCCAATCAGGAACAAGTACACATCCTGATGAACTTCCTGCTACATAGCTCTTACCTGTGTGTGATCACAACTATGCAGTTGGAGCAACCTATGAAAACCTGTGGCTTGTTAACTTACATGAACAACAGCCCCAGCATTCCAGGAAGTTAATCTGTCTTTGGGCACGTGGGGTTTATAGATTAGAGGCATTTTTGTTTTGTAGTTCTCTTAAGCATAGTAATTTAAACTTAAAACATAATTTAGGATATCTAATGGCTTAGACCCTCCTGAGGCCAGGAGATTATAGCATAAACTGATAAACTGAGTTGGGAACCTTTTTTTTTTTTTTCTTTGTTAGTTTTGTTTTTGGGTTTTTTGTTGTTGTTGTTATTGTTTGTTTTTTTGAGACAGGGTGTCTCTGTGTAATAGCCCTGGATGTCCTGGAACTTCCTTTGTAGACTTCGAAGAGATCTGCCAGCCTCTGCCTCCTGAGTGCTAGGATTAAAGGCATGAAGGACATCTTTTCACAAACCTACCATTTCTAACTTCCACAATAATCCAGGAGTTAGCTGTCACACAGATTCCCCTGGAGCTGGAGTTACAGACATTTGTGAACTGCCTGATGTGGGTGCTGGGAACTGAACTAAGGTCCTCTGTAAGAGCAGTAAGTGTCTTAACACTGAGGTTTCTTTCCAACTAATAGCACAACACTCTCAAGTGAACCCTCTGCTTCCTCAGCACCACTCTAAACCATTCCTGGCTGTACTGGTCCACAAACGTGCATGAGACTCACTCAGATAGTGCAACAAATGTGTGAGCAAGCTTTGTGGGAGGGGCAGGGGAGCAGTCAGAGCTGCTGATTCTTAGGAGTGCACCTCACAGCCCTCCAGCGGGGACTCAGGCTCTGTCTGCTTTTTTCATCTGCTATGCCTTGTTGATCTTCCCTGTGAAGACTGCAGTTTGGTTTCATCTATCTCCACGAATAAATAAATTGTTTCTCATGCGTTTCTCTCCAGGGCACTTTACTGACTCCTGTTCCAGTCATCCGCTAAGTAATCCTGAGGAACTGGAAGAGAAAGATGCCTTGGGAGTGAGGAGGGCAGCCCTGAGACGTCTGCAGGATGAGCTGGGCATCCCCCAGGACCAGGTACCAATGTCTGCCCAGTAACAGTTGTATCCCCAGAAATCTAAGGAAGCAAGGGGCAAAGGCTGGACACTGTCTGAGGATGATATATCTGTGCCTCTGTCCTCACCCAGGTGCTATGACATAGAGAGAATGGGGCTTTTGTGAATTCAGTTGTTATGGGTAAGAGCAAGTCTATTGAGGAATCAGCTTTTTTGAAAACTATGAGGAGGAACTTGCAAATATGCACTAAGACCATCTAGGATCAGCTGTGCACATTCCTTGGTTTATCCACTGGAGCAGGGGCTTGAGAGTGGATAGCTATTTTCTACAGAAAGCTTCTAGTTTTCCATGAGGTTCCCTGATATAGGAGTGGAGGAGTACTTCCTTAATACAGGACACAGACCATTGTAATGGGTCAAAAGAACCAACTTCAGATTTGAGTTCACAAAAAATTTAGTCATCTAAATTAAGATGGCAAAAATAAGCAATCAATCTGGCCAGCAAGTGAACAAATGCACTGAACAAACTTTTCAACACAAGTACAAATGCCCAATAAGTATGTAAAAAATATTTAACAAACTTTGCCATTGGGGAAATACAACTCAAGATTACAATGAGATTCAGTCTTATCCCAGTCAAAATGGCTCTTGGGAAGAAATCAAACTACGGCAAAAGGTGTCAAAGATTTGGTGAAGAAACCACCCTCACATTCTGCTAGTGGGAGTGTAAACTATTACAGCTACCATGGAAATCAACATAGAGATTCCTCAAAAAACTAAAATTAAGATTTTTGTTTTAATACTCCTTATCTCGTGTTTCCCAAGCTACTCTCACCTCTGGACTCTGGCCAGGGGAAGGGCATTACCCCTTGACCTTGAACCTGAAAAAATTGTAAGGTTTCAACACTAAACTTATATAAAAGTAGTCAGTTTTGATGAGATATGGAATAAGCTCCCAGATGGTCAAAGTCATTGTTGTGTTACACTTTATCAAGAGAGCGAAGTGCACCTACCAGTTACGTTATGGTTTATGTGATCTGTCCTAAACCACTTGGAGAAAGAGTTTACACAGAAAAAAAAGTAGGTTTCTGTTGTTTTGTTTGCTTCATTTTGGAAAATCTGTTTGACCTATGCACAAGAGCGTTCTGGAATCTGAAGAACAAGTACTTTTGTATCACAGGCACTGGAAAGACTACAGGAATGGTGAGACTAAACAGACTGTTTAACATCACAGTATGTTAATCCCACTGGTAAAAAAGACAACCAATACCATAATTTTGAGTCAAATTTGGGACAAGCTTTAATTAAATACTGGCCTGGCTTCCCAGGAAATAGCCATGAGTCACATTCTGCAGAAGCTTAAAAAGGTAAAACTTCATGGCCACTGTATTAGGTCCAATTGGAGAACATATTTTCTGCCTATGCACTCCTACCCATAGGTGATAAAGCAATCAGGTGCAGATGAGTCAAGCAAACATATACGCAGGAAATTATTCTTAACTGTCTTAACTGCAGACAGAACTCTTACTCTGCAAGGTATATTTTTCCCGTTTTGCTCTCTCATTAACTTGGTTTCATAAGTATCCAATTTAGTAAAAAGAGTTGACAGAAACTTATCTCATGGAAATAGCAGAGCCAGGATTCAATATGTGGCAGAAATTAATGGTCAAACTCTTTCAGAACATTCCAAGAAATCAAAATACCTGAGGTAGAGTAAACACAAACCAAAAAGAAATCCAGAGGTCCATTAAGTCCCTTGCTCATGTTGAACAGTTTAAGGAAAAATTTCCTTTAAAGTTTTGTCGGGAAATCTTTAATCCTCCCTTTCTGACTGGAACAGTAAATTATTACAAACAAGAAGCTTCAAGATGATTAGAAAACTCAGATTCTTTCTGGGTGTTGGTGGCTCACACTTTTAATCCCAGCACTTAGGAGGCAGAGGCAGGCTGATCTCTGTGAGTTTGAGGTCAATCAACTTGGAGTTCTAGGACAGGCTCCAAAGCTACACAGAGAAACCTGTCTTGAAAAGTCAAACCAAAATAAAAAAGAAAGAAAGAAAGAAAGAAAGAAAGAAAGAAAGAAAGGAAAAATAAAATGGTAATACTATATAGAAAAGATTTTAGGTAGATTAAAAGATAAAGAAATTCAATGTTGAAAATACATACAAGTTCATGTACTAAAGTGATTTATGATATTAGCAATGGGTGGCAGCAGACCTCTTACAGTTCTCATATGCACAGTGCCGTGAAATTTGCCAAGAGAAAAATTGACATGGCAAGCATGTGACTAAATCAACTCTTACAAAGAAAAATATATAGATGGGGCTTGGTCCTGCCTCAACGAGATAATAGGACAGACTTAGACTTCCTAGGGGAAGCCTTACCCTCTCCAAGGAGCACATGGGAGGTGGGGGAGGTGGGGGGAATCGGGAGGAAGAAAGGGAGGGGGAACTGGAATTGGAATGTAAAAAAAATTAAATAAAAAGACCATTATCACATTTTCTCTCACATGCAGAGTCTAGACTTCTGTGTGTGTGCACACATGAGCATGTGTATTTTTGATAAGGTAGTGACTAGGAAAGAGGAATGGCAACAGAAAGTGGAAAGACAGGTTAGAGGTTGTGTGTAAGTAAAGTATATTATATATGTGCATGGGAATAACATAATAAAATCCATCATTTTATAGACTAAATCTATGATAATAAAATCAGATTTTATTAACAATGACTAAACGTTAATCTTTGAGGAAAACACATATATTTGCTTCATTTCTCTGCATGTGTATTTTACATCAATTTTGTTAACATTTAGTCAATTTCTGTCACAGGTTTCTCTAGAGGACATCGTGTTTATGACGAGATATCATTATAAGGCAAAATCAGATGCAGTCTGGGGAGAACATGAAGTCTGTTACCTTCTGCTTATCAAGAAGGATGTCACTATCAGCGCAGATCCCAGTGAAATTAGCAGCTTCAGCTACCTGACCCTGCAGGAACTGGAAGATCTCCTAGAAAGAGGGGCCCAGGGTGAAGTAAAAGTCACCCCCTGGCTGAGAATCATTGTGGAGAGGTTCCTGAGTGGGTGGTGGCCTTACTTGGACGAAGTGACCCAGTTTGAAGAGCATGATAAGATACACAGAGTGTAAGAAGCAGGAAATCAGGCCTTGGCTGTGAAAATGTCCCAGTCAGGAGCTGAGCTCAGAGGCACACCCATGGCTCTGTTACACTCTTAGTTTCCAGAAATTCATAATCATTATCTTTAACTCTATATCTTTCTTTTTTCTTTTTTGACACAGAGCTATATATCCCAGACCAGTTTAAAACATAGTGTACAAGGATGGCTTTGAATTTCTGATCCTCCTGCCTCCATTGGTCCTCAGATTACAGGCCTACACCACTGTCCAACCAACGACTCTGTGCTGCTGGCTGGAGACTGAACCCAAGGCTCTATGTGTGCAAGGCAAACACTCTCCAGCAGCTTCATCCCTTCCCGCATCTTCTCTTTTTCCCAGTTGCTTTATTTTCTTGTATGCCTTGGTGCAGGGAAGAAACATTATTTTCCCCAAATGTAATTTCTAATTTTTAAAAGTTTATTTTAGAAATAGGGGGACTAAAGGAGAGACAGTCCCACACATATAGAATTGATGTCATTGCCGTAGAAATTAAAGTTGTACAACCACCGGAGGCAATTGTTGTATGGAGTGCCATCTTTTCAATGGCCTGAAGCTTTGTGTAGAGAAAACCGCAAGGACACTAAATCCAGCAGAATCTGTTAAGCACCAAAACTGGCAATACTAGAACACCTGGATTATACTTACTTATCCTGCTCTGGCTTGCAACAACTGGGTAACATGTCCCCTGTCATCACTGTTATACTCCGTAGCTGTACAGAATACAGAGAGTCACACCATCACACTCAGTTGGATAAATAAGAGGGCAATCATTTAAACAAATACAATTCTTAAAATAGTTTATTTCACAAATTGTATTTTGATCTACTCAAAAGGACACTTCAAACTCCAATGTCTAGCTAGCTGGGTTTTTTGTTTTACTTATGGAGGGAGGAGAGAACACCATTCTTGAAAAAAAAAATGGATACTTCACATCTTCTTAAATTAAATACTGTATTAGGAAAGCAATTTGATTTTGGTTTGGTTTTGTTTAGCTTGTTTGTTTGCTTGTTTGAAATAGGGTCTCACCATGTAGCCCTGGTTGGCCCAGAACTCAAAAGCCTCCTTCCTCAATTCTTAATCTTTTGACCTACCATGCCTGTCTACCATGGTATATATTTTTAAGTCTGTTCCTCAGTATGCACAGGCCATTGGTTCACCCTGTATATACACTAAATATATTTTATATTGTTGTCATCAAACACAGAAAGGCTTATGGGAGGAAAACTGTTTTGGTTCATGATTCCAGAGGGTCGCAGTCAATCATGGTGAGGAAGGTAAAGTAGTGAGAACATGAAGCTGTGGCTTGCTGGCATGACACAGATGAAGGGGAGAAAACTGGATCAGAACCGGGGGGTAAGGTTCAGGCCAATGCTGAGGCCATGTTGTCCTGTGTCAGAATGAATTGGTCAAAAGAAGGTACAGTGGACGGAGTAGTGGAGCTTGTGGTGGAGTCAGGGAAGCTTGGAGTGCAACATGTTCTAACATAACATCTACTGTAGGACTTCTTTGTCACGAAGATGTCACTCTTCACCCTGAAGCCACACGAGTAAGCTGCCAAGTAGTGTATGTACTGGCTCCCAGGCTTGTTTGGCTACCAGAACCCTCCAGTACCAAGAATGCCAGTTATTTTGACATCACTTTATTAAATATTACATATCAGAATGAGTCACACATTTTGGTGTGAGCCACATATTTCTGAACACAAACACAAGTGTGCAAACTCCAGTCTCTTCCATCTCCCATTCTACTCACACATATCCATTCTAGGGGACAAATTACCTTTTTCAGAGTAGCTTTAAATTTTCTTTTCTGTTATCTAATATTTTTTCTCCCAAACAGACAATCAATCATTCTTTCTATTATAAAAAAGGTGAAACTGAGTGTGTTAGTCAGCTATGGTATTTTCATTCTATCTTAAAAATAATTCATTACAACTGGAACCCAGATGCAGAGAGGGAGGGCAAGACCAGGCTGCAGAAACATAAAGACAGCTGATCTGAACAAGGAGGAGCTAATGGGCCCCCCCCAGACTGATAGGTGGGAATAGAGCATGGGACTGACTCAGGACCCCTGAGAATGGGTCTCAGCTAGAAGGACTGAGCAGTCTAAGGGACCTAGGACAGTGGAACCAGGATATATTCCTGGTGCACAAAAGGACCTTGTGGACACATCCCCCATGAAGGGATACTCCCTTAACCTAGAGACAGAAGGCCTAGTCCCTACTCCAAATAGCTTGACAGATTTAGATGACCCCTCCTGGGAAGCATCACCCTACATGTGGAGTGGAGGGGGGTGGAAGGGGAGGGTGATCCGGGAGCATGAGAGGGTGGGAGAGAGGGAAAGAGGGAGGGAAAGAGGAAAGGAGGGAGGGAGGGAGAGGGAACTAAGATTGATAAAATAAAAATTAATTGTAAAAAATAATGGCTTGAAATAAATATGAAGTGAGAAAAATAATACATTACATTTATTTAGTGTGTGTATGTGTGCGTGTTTGTGTAGTGAGATATTCTCTTTGTCTGCACCTGTGACACTGACCACGCCCATTGGGGAACTAGGTCTGAGGAGGGTGCCCCGGAACTCTCTTGCTTGCTGTACGGGGAGAGAAGAGCATCTGGAGGAATCCTTGGGACCAGGAACCTGTTGGTGTTCATCTGTTTATGTTGTAAGTTATTTCTCCCTGAATAAACATCTATTCGGCCTATTTGTTTCTCCTGATCCTTATTAAACCATGATGTGTTTGTGTGTTGCACATGTGTCACTGTGTGGATGTGGAGATCAGAGACCAACCTGCAGGAGTTGGTTCTCTCCTTCTACCCTGTGGGTACTGGGAATCAAATACAGGTTATCTTTACCCACTGAACCATCTTGCTCACCCCTGATTCAACTTTTTCATCAACCTTAGGACCTGCAGGTGCCATGAAATTTCAATTCAAATAAAGGCTCAGAAGATTAAATGTTATTTTTCTCCAATAGAATGTTTTTCTTTAGCCTGGCATTGATGGCACAAGCCTTTAATCCCAGCACTTGGGAGGCAGAGACAGGAGGATCTTTGTGAGTTTGAAGCCAGCTTAGTCTACAAAGCTACACAGAGAAATCCTGTCTCGAAAAAATAAATATGTTTTTTTTTCTGTAATCTAAAGTAACTGCAGTCAAACATGCAGCATGCCATTTGTATTTACAGTTTGGAGGAATTGCCCTAATAGTTACTTAGAAAAAACAACCAAACAAATAACAACAACAACAAAAAACCCCACAGACTACAGCTAATGGGTTAGAGGAAAGTAAAGAACTGAGACTTGGCTGGCCAGGCAGGCATTTATAGAGTACTTCAAGGCTCCACTAATCAAATCTATGCAGTATTTATCTCAGGCTGGACAACCAAAGTAATGATACAAAACAAAAGATCCAGTTACGATCGGTTAACTTTATAAAGAGAGAGGTGATCACCAGGTGTGGTGGGTTAGTTTTGCCATGCTGGGCGGAGATCAATCCCAGAGCTTCACACAAGCATGACAAGCACTTTGCCAACTACATTCTATTCCTAGGCGTATGTCGTCCAATTATGACACACTATTCTTCACTGAGTTCCTTACTGTTGAGACCAGGCTCTTCTTACTCTAAATTACTCCATATTGTGCAAAACAATCTTTTTTCAGACAATGGTTTCTCCAGACAGAGCCTCCATTGTACAAGCAGCCTTCGACTCCACTTGGGTGGGTAAATGATGGCGCCACCAGCTCAGCATTATTCATGTACACAGACATGCTGAAAGGACCTGTTCTTGGAAGTAGAAAAGGTACCTAGTCAATACATTGGGGGGAATTAAGATTGCAGGGAAAGATGGGTAGATTCAAATAATATCAGGGAAACCAGATCCAAGAAGTTATTGGACACGCCAGGTCAAGGAAAGGGTGTAACTCCCATAGAAGAGGGGCCACTTAGCACTGTAAGGGTGATATAATAGCCCTACTGACCTGTCACCTGACCACCCAGTGTATACATCAAAGACTGATCTACAATTCCAAATGGCTTGAGGGCTTTAGCTTAGCTTGTTCCCTGCTGTTGATTTCACCTTCTTAAATGCCCTCTGCCCATCCTCCTGTTTGTTCACATGGACCTGCCATCTGACTTCTCACTCACTCACCTCACTAACTCACCTGGATTTAGTCCTGCCTTTTGCCTCTACAGCTGGGCAACTGAATTCAAATAATGTAGAGGTTCCAGGTAAGCAAACAGTTGTGACAAAAACATAGTCACTGAAGGGACATAGTGTCATCCTCATTTGTAACATCATTAAAACAGATCAGCACTGTCATTAGGGGATATACCAAGTGAAATTCTAAGCACCCTAAATAATCAAAATATCAAACTACAAAAGGACCTAAACAAACAGCATGAGAGAGATGTTCAGTTGCTCAGGATACTCAATTGTCAATGCAGATGGAGATGTCATCCAACATTTTTGAAGTCTGTATCGATGTATTGTTTTCAAAGCTGGTATGATTGATGTGAGAAATATGAATCTAAATGTCCATCTGAAGTTTTGCAGTACAGGAACTGGCTGGAATTATCTAGACTGTCTTTTTCTCCAGTTAGAGTTGAATCTTTTTTAACTATTTATTTTGTGTGTATGTGTGTCTGTGCCTGCATGTGTGGTATACACTACATGTGTTCAGGCACCTACCGAGGCCAGTAAAGGTGGGTGGTTCAGTGAAACTATAGTTACAGGGGGTTAAGAGGTGCCTGACATGGGTTCCAGGACTGAACCTGGGGTTCTCTGTGAGAATAGCAATTACTCCTGACTGCCAAGCCATCTCTCCAGCTTTAAGAATGAAATCTTTGGTGTGATGGGTTTTGAAATCATTTGGTTTTCTTCATATCTGGGGAAAGACATTTTAACCAATTCTGGATTTTCAGTTATCATATTTCGAAGTCTCTGATATAACACGTGCCTCTCTTTAACTGAGCACTCTGGTGGCTTTTCCTTAATTGGTTTACAGAACATCAAGTACTTATTTCTAAGGAGACAATGGATGCTTTCCAAAAAAGGGAGAGACTTGAGAAAAAAATCCAAAGCTTTAGATAATTTTAACAA